AAAACAGGTTGGAACCCCTCAAAAAGGTCATCCAAGATGCGATTCGGCTGAACCACCTCAGACTGCGGTGATGTGATCTAAGTAAGGAAAACTATCGAGTTGACTCCATCGCATCCAACTCGAGCCCCGCGATCTGTCGCCATAAGAGGGACCTTGGGGGCTATCCGACCGGATGGCACCGGAGAGACCATCAGAGTCGGTGAACATAGACCCGCCAGTCGGGGCGGGTCTGGATGGGGAAGGGGGATGTACAAGCAATTCTTTCGGTATAAGTCATCGACCCACCGGCTGGGGTTTTCCACAGGAACCGCCCGCCGCTCTCCTTGTCCAAGCTGATCAAGCACATGGATGGCAAGGCATCGCTTTTTCCAGCCGGGCCGAGGCAGAGCAGGACACCACCATAATTATATCGGTGTAACTGTGGCAAGCGGTGAATGCCAAGGATGGCAAGAAGAGAACCTTGGAGATACGTGGAGTGCATTTATGAATTCTATTTAACTTATGAGACACTTTGTCCAATCAAAACCTCCCCGCATCGGCGCATACATCCTTCTCTTCGATCATTCAATACTACACAGACTACACAGACACATGGTAAACGTTTGTCGGACTTTGAGTAGGGTCTACACCACACAAAATCATCATCGCAATTACAACCATCCTCCTCCTCCTCCTCCTTCTCATCATCATCATCATCATCATCATCATCATCATCATCATCATCATCACCATCACCATCACCATCACCATCACCATCACCATCACCATCACCATCATCAGTCACCATCACCATCACTCTGGTCATCATCAACATCACTCTGGTCATCATCACCATCACTCTCATTATGTTCAACATCCTAAAGACTGTTGCCTTACTTCTGAGCCAACTCGTTTGCCAGGATGGAAAGGTCGCCGTGGTGGTAGGCGCAGGGAGATGCGGGGAGAAGTGGAGGGCAAGTGCTGATATTGGTGTTCGAGTCTCAGCATGGAGACATCATATGATGCTTTAACAAAAGCTTTGGCTCCAAACATTTTTGAAGGAACCCAGGAACACCGTCTTGATGCCGGTAAATTGAATCAAGCCACCTTTTTTTCAGAAGACGCGAGATGGCAGATCCATCGCACCGAGTCACGTGACTCGGGCGCCTCGTTCCGTTCCGTGCGGAATAGGCCGTCACAAGCCGCCGTGGAATATGCGTCGTCGTGTCTTGGATGCGCCGTCCGGCCGAAACGGACCGTCGGATGACTAGGCACCGTGACGGATGACAAGCGGGTCTACGATGTGCCAGAGATCAAGGCGGTGAAGTCACCCGAGTGGAAGAACACGTATTCTGTGAGCTTGTAATAGAGTAATATGCTGTTTTTCCCTTTTCCCCTTTCGGGATGGAGTTCATGCTAGTGCTAGTTTCGGATGAAGATGTGCGCCTTTGATTCCTGGCTAATTCTACCGTTTGAAGACCGGGTGAAGCCAACAAACCTCATTCCAATCCGCGGTCTCGTCACAGGTCTGCGCCTTGCGCTTCACAGAGACCGCGCGTGCCAGGCGCGGCTTCGCTTGCGGAACGCGTTTGCGGGGCGTTTGGAGAAGGATTCAAGGACGATGAAGCGGTTTGGTAGTTTGGTTTGGAAGCGAAGAGCGTCCAACCTGAGATTTAGGAGGATTTTAATGGTGGTTTCGATGAAAACCATCCAACCTTTTGGGCATATAGAGTGAGCATTTAATTAACTGCGATACGTTTATATTTGGTTAAATATTATTTGGAGGGCTCTATGGATGTTTAGATGTTTTCGATTCTTGGCATATCTTGGGACAACAGCGCCAGCTGCGCGCACGGATCTTCTGCGCACGGATCCGACGCGGAGGATCGTGAAGGCCGGAGGAGAATGCCTCACATTCGATACCTTGGCCATGCGCCCGGCGGCACAGGAAGGGGGTCCAAACATGGGGTCTGTGTGGAGATCGTTCCTCAGGTCATTCAGGTCATGGGCTGGCCACCATGGTTGAAACTGCTGGTGGTCCTTCAGCAAGTTAGTCGGTGCCTGTGAAGCCCTGCCCCCAGGTCGAGGTGGGTACATGTTTGGTCCGTGCATCACCTCATCGAACAGTCCCCACTTTCCTTCGCATCCGGTCGTGGCGGGTCGTCCGTCCGACGACCTCCGAGGCAGTCCTTTGGGCAAAGGCACGGTGCTCCTTCGTGGCCCCGTGAAGAGCCGTGAGGCTGAGCGCCACTTCGGCAAGGCGCAGACGGTGTTGGGCAGATGGTGGTGGTGGGAGAGGCCCGTGGGCCAGTTTCTTCGAAGAACACGGGGTCATGCGGCATGCGAAGCTTCCGAAGTAAGTGTTTTTGACCTGTTTTTGAGGTATAATCTATATTCCATGCAACAAACAACCGTTTTTCCCAGGGTACCGCCCTTTCTCGCTTTCTCGGCGGAACCACGGTGGAGGCGCCGGGCGTGCCGAACTCCAAGACGGCGCCCTATGTGCGCTCCAAGGGTCGCAAGTGCCTCGGCGCGGGTCGTGCCGCGGGTCGTGCGCTCTTTTTCAAAAGGTGGACGGAACGTGGGCGGGCCATGACTCTTCTGTTTTTGGGGACCCTATCGGTTCTGTTCGCCCGGCTCGGAGAGTTGGACACGGCATGAGGTGGTATGAAACTGCTTCTTGGGGGGTGTCAAGCACACAATAATACGGTGCACATGTTTTATGTTCTATTTGTTCCAGGCTTATTGGATGGTATAGATTATGATGAGGGAACCGGATGGCTTTGTGCAGGAGATACATCCGCTTTATGTGTCGACAGACACCCGAGCGGAGCGTGCGCGGCGTTGGCGACACCTGCGGAGCGTGGGGATCCCCCGACAGATTCTAAGGGGCCCAGTACATCAAAACAACTGAATCCTTGCCACGAAGGGGACAACTCTTCCAGCACAAGTCTCCGACAGAGAAGTCTCTGACATGGTGGCTGAAATGCAGACAACCCAAAGCCGCAGGTAGTGATCTGGCAGTGAAGGTGCTGGTGATTGTTTCATATGAGTCCACTATTCTGCAAGTCTTGGATACTAGCTGCCTAGCTTTCTACGCATCAGACGTGCCACTTCGCTCAAGACTCTTTGGTGAGGTTCGAAAAGGCACGCGGCCGCCGTGCCCTGGCTGCAGTGATGCTGGCTGGGTTTACTGTATTTGAAACCAGGACTTGAACAGCAAATTGGCACATATTCAGATTCAACTGCGCACACAGGTTCAATTTGACTGGAAAGCCAGGCTATCAAAGGCAATTGCATTGAATCATAACCAGGCCCTCAACAAACTGCAACATCGAAGTGTAAACATGGTACCCTTCTGAAGTCAGTTGGGGGAAGATGCGTGGCAGGGTCTCCTCTGGGGAATCCAAATCAGCAAATCGTACATCGGCAATTTACGGGTGCACTTCTGAGCATTTGTTGGTCACGTTTGTTAGCGCACCATCTGGGTACGCAGGTTTCTTTTTTTGTTTTTTTTGCATTTGAACTGCTACGAACATTTCACCACAGGTTCTTGTGAACACCAAATGAATATCGAACGATGCCAGAGCCCATTTTCTTTGTCGTGCAAGGATCAACAAGGCCTCGTGTCCGCACTGAGCCCAAATCGAAACGGTCAACCAACCGGTTCCTGACTCATCCCGACTCATCCGACTCGCGCGTTTTGTCAACTCCGCACTTCAGGTCGCTCGCGCGGATTCAAGGTCTAAGTGGGTTGAGTGTTTGGGCCGAGCGAAGGTGTCCCGCCGCCGAAAAAAAGCGCCGCAACCCGGTGATCCGCGGGTCTGACCTGGGACCGGCGGAGCTCGGTGGCTCGGTGGCCGGTCAAGATGGATTGCATGGAATGGGGATGAATGGGGTAGCTTAGCTGACATGGTGCAACAAGTGGCTAGTAACGGCTAGTACTTATTTGAGACATGGTCCAAGCAAATCGTCCTGAATCTGCAAGCTGGTGGGCTTTTCATTAAAGTAGGATTCTTGTGGGCATCATTCCATTTGGTGTCCAAAAAAACGAACAGGCCGGCCGTGATTCCCGCGTTTTCTGACGGACCATGGACCACAAGGACTTTTCCGCTACATTCGACGTCATGTGGACCCTTGTCATGTGGAGTCTCCCTGAACACACATTGAAAAGACATGATCCGGCCACATGTCCAGTTAGAGATGGATGGATGGAAGTCGGCCAACCGAACAGACCACAACACCACCCCGGCGTTCTCCTTTCTGCGGTTGGATGGAAAGGGTGTCGAACGACGTCTCCTTTTCCATCGGTCGATATCGATATCTATTGGTGCTACGAATCAAACCGACTTTCCACGGGGTGGACTTTCCGGGATCCAGGCCCCCGCAACGCACAAAGAACTGCGCCTTGAAGAACTGCTCCAGAAACGACATCTCACCCTACAGATAGAACTGCCTGGGTTTTTTGGAAGTGATGCTTTTCATCCCCTGCTTGGAGGTTTCTAACCTGAGTGACCTGCAGAAAAGAGCCATTCACTTAGGGACTCCTGAAAGCCACACTTTGCAGAAGCTAAAACGTGCGGACCTTGCTCGATCTGGATTCCTTCCTTTGGCTCAGCCGTGGTGGATGGAGGTGTTTGTTCCAGAGGGCACGCGCATGCCATGCCATACACCATGGGGCCGCCATGGCCACATCAGTATGTTAGGAGCATGCCGTACGTATCATCTGGCTGTGGGTCCCAAACATGTTTTCGTACGAAACACAAATCCCGTGCCGAACAAACCGCACCTGGATCTTCCACCAGCTGGTCTGCCGCTGGAAAACAAAGAGCTGGACGTGAATGCAAGACTTACCCAGATCATTCGACCCAAACCCAGTTTCAGGAAACCCACTCATCTCATCAAATCCTTGAAACCTTAAGATTTGTATAAGATTTGTGACAAAATCAAAAGAAGGAACCCTGTGATTCATTGGGGTCTCCACTCAAAAGAGTTCGACCTCTCCTCTTCGACCCACAGCCGAGACAGATCCTCGGCCTCCCGTCCCGCCCGCGCCCCGCCCCGCGCGCGGCGGGTCGCCATGACCGTCCCCGAGCGCTGCGAGAGCAGCCTCGAGCGCTGCGAGGTCTCGCGCCTGGCGCACCGCGCGCGGCGGACGCGCTCCGGGACCCCTGGGCCGCCGGTGAGCGAGGACGGTCCGGTGAGCGAGTCCGTGGGCGCGGAGGGGGCACATCTGGTGGTCTGAGACGGGGTAGGTTGGTAAAGCAAGGATTGAACAGGATGGTAGAAACGGTGCAGATGTTTTTTCGGTTCGTGGAATAGGAAACTTGGGACCGTTCTGCCGCCTTTGCCTCCCTTGAGGTGCACAGGATCGAAGGCTAAACCCTTTTTGGGACTCTTAGAAGAAGGGAGCAGTTTCATTAAGCCATGTCACCATGCTGTAGAAGGGCGCTGCCATGATCGGGAGTCCGGCCTGCCAATTTCGGGCATGGGTGGTACACTCACAAATGTGGTACAGTGGAGTTCACCCCTGGTTTGACCGAGGAAAGTGGGGTTTCAAGGGAACATGTTCCACTTCCACTTCTGAGCGAGTCGGAGTGCATTGGAATTCTCACAAGTCAACTCCACCCTCCTGGAGCTTAGTTGGACATTCTTCAGGTTCCCAGAGCCTGGCCCAGCAGGATGCTGGCGGACTGTTTCGTTGAGATCCCTCACGTCAAACAGCAGTGAGTCGTACCGTTCCCCGAAAGGCTGGGCACGGAAAGGGACAGGGAGAAGCCCTTTGTCAATATAAAAGACACTCGGAAAGTAGTCCACCTCACTGCAGTAGAGGAAATCCTTCTTCGGGTCACCTAAGGACAATGTTTTAGATTTTCTTGGGCTGCTAGGGCTGGTGTATAGATGGCTTTGATATTGCCTTGATGTCGACCATGGCTCAAGCCTACACCTCTCGATTCTGAAGGCGGAGCAATGCAGGTGACGGCTGTGTCTGGCAACACGATTGCTCAGCTTGATGAGGATGAGCTGCTTTACATGGTGGAAAGTGGGCAATCTGTTCGAGACCTCAAGCGACGTCTTTCGGCTCAGGTTGGGTGTTCAAGGTTTCAGCAAAGACTCTTCAGCGACGAGCTTGGAGAATTAGAGGATGACTTGGCTCTACGAACACTGTCAAGTGTCCAGCTGGTAATTCTGCCCTTGTGTGCCCCTGATGAGACCATGGAAGAAGAACTGCTCACAAGCTGCCAGGAGAATAATGTGGCTCAAATTGCAAGGCTGCTTCAAAAGCCACTGGACCCGAACGGCCAAGGCTTGGTTCTTGCTGCCCAGGAAGGCCACTTGGCAGTTGTGCGTTTGTTGCTCGAGGCTGGAGCTGACAAAGATGCA